TTTCGTGTTGAGATTCGGGAAGCCGAGAGTTACGACCTGGGCTCCGTCACGCATATACGAATCGAAGCGAATTGGAAGCACGAAGTAGAAGTCCTGTATGGCGTATCATAGCGAGTATGAGCGTCGTTCAAGCGGCTCAACTGACGCTGTAGAGCGAAGTGAAAAGGGGCCACTGGGATGCTCTCACCGAAGAACCTCTGCCTTTCCTCCAAAGTCATTGGGTCCAGCGCGGCGGCATACTCACTTATCCTGTCATCAATGAAACTCTCGATGTCAACGTCAAGAGAATGCAGCTTGAAGTTGCAGGTGTTGACTTCCACGGAGTCGTCCAAGCCGTTAGCGATGTCAGTGAAGGCGTAGGTCTCAGCCAGGCCGTACTTGAGGTTGTGGAGAGTGAAGAGGGCATCGAAGTTGGTGATGGTGAGATTATTGAGGCATCGGGTCACGTCCTCGGCTCGTCCCCATATGAAGTCCTTCATAGTATCGTCTGCTAGCGTCTGTCGAATAGTCCGTCCTCTGGCTGGGTTCAGAGGGGCGCAGTCGTCAACAACAGGGATCGAAGATGTGGGTATGACAGATCTGTTCGCAGGACCGCAGGGGATGGGTGGCTCACTTCCGTGACACACGACACCTTCCCCAAACTTGTAGTACATGCAGTGGGTGATCTGGCCAGGCATTACATCGCGGCATGCCTGATCCCACTTCTCATGATCGGGAGGCTGGCCTTGGACTGATGACCTCAACGCCCACCAAGAGATGATTACACTAAGCTGGAGACGAGGCATTATCTTAGCAATAAGCTCTTGATGGTTGGAAACTGATATTCCGAGTAATCATGACAACTTACTCACAGTACAGCTACCGTCCACATAGCTGATCGTTCTACACGAGAGCAATCATCGATCGCTACCGATCCGATCACTGAATTTTAGTGGGAATCAACCAATCAGACATCCTCGATCCAGGGGGAGACGCAAGGCGCCGCCTTGTCCTATCATACAAGGAGTCTCCAACAATTGCACGCATGTGATTCCCATGCGCCGCGCATGATGCGCGCAATTGTGAGAGGCATGGCACTAATAGCAGGGCAGTTGCTGTAGGATGATCTGTCGTTGGTCAGTTTATTCGTTGTGCTATACCGTTCGTTCGTTATGTGCGACTCTGCGGCCCTACTTGTGCGGTCCTACCTATGCGTAGTAAGCAGATAGACAGTATATAACGGTCGTACGATTGCTAAGGGTGGATCATGGGTACACGTGCTAAACCATCGATCACATTCAGAGTTTCACGCGGACTCTTTTGAGAATTATTGTTGGCACTTCTGCCGACCTTGCCGAGCGCAGCCGAAGCACGATCTGATACCTGCATCTACCTTTGAGATTGTGTTGTCAGTAGCATCAGCTACCTGAAATGTCAGATTGATACTATCAATTGAAGACCCGAACACGACTTCGAGTAGATTCCTCCACACAGTGCACCTACCCTTGATGGTCTGAGGACCCCACACTATCAGCTGCTTGCATTAATCACTGATGAGGATACGGAATTCATCTTGATGCTCAGCATGGCCCGCTTGCGAGTAACCCAATGCTCAGCTACAGCCCATAACGTCTCGGATGCAGTCGTCTGTTTGATGCAGAGTCCAAGACAGGACCAGACCAGCCACGGAAGTGTCTTCATTTTCGAGGGACAACTGTCCCGATTGCGATTAGGCTGAATGCGAGCCAACCTTGTTTCCTTTCGTAATATGGGCTTCAGCTAATATAGCTTCATACGGAGTCCCAAGTTTCGATAGCACACTCATAAGTCTATGATCAATGAATGTTTAAGATCAGATTAACCCTCTTCATCGGGGGTAAAAAAAGCCTTTCGACATAGAATTGATGATTCTACGCTCAACATTAGAATGTTGATCATAACACACGCAATGTCTATCAGTTGCGTTGTATGATGATATCCTTAGCGTGTTTTTGGCCTAGCTTCAACTTCATTTGTAGCAGTGATTATTTAAAAGTAAGCCTCTGTTAGAAACCATTTGGTTATCCTTGTTGAGTTGACCTGACAACTTGGTTTCCTGTATCTGACCATCGACTGAAGGATATTTAATATTGGGGAAAGAGCCAAATTGGCACTGCCAAGGATCGCTGGTGTTACGGCCCGTAACTTACGGGTACAGTTATGACGGAGAAAAATATTCTGTAAAAGTTTTACAGTAAAACATTTGAAGCTGTAATGGCCGATCGGTGACCGATCATCGGTCAATGTCCATGAACTGCACAGTAGGAATCTGGGTTCAAGCTTCACACAGGCCGCTAGGTCGGAAGTTGAAATGGGCTGGTGGCGCAACCGACGGCGAACATTTGGATTCGCCATCGCGAAGTGCCTCTGCGATGCCAAGTCCAAATCGCGAATCGGTTGACAGAATTAGACCTGATTCCAAGAAAATGGTGCAACTCGGAGCCTTCCAGTGTTGCTTCGTCCTCCGAGTCGGAGGATCGGAGCATCGTAGTGAAGGTGCTAAAAATTCCGTACAACGAAGCCATCTTTTCAGCAAGATGTCAGCAAAATTGCTCAATTCGAACCAGACAAAATGTGCAAATGCGAACGAAATGCCGAAATGTGTCCGTCTTTGCACGCCTAATGCTGCTGAAAAGCCACTTTATTGTTATTTGCGCATCTTCTACCCCTTCTTATGCCGTGGACGGCGACTGGCACTGGATCTCTGTTACTGCTTCTACCCATTGTGCGCGATTGCACGTGTGTGCATAGCTATTCACCAATTCCCCCGGATAGATTAAGACAAAAAGGCCTTTTCAACTCCTTCCGGCTCGTGTTATCTACTATGAGTCTCGACCAAGCAACAAATGGTGCCCAGACGCCTTCTGAACCTATTGAGGCTCCTCCTAACTCTCCACAAGCTCTTAAGGAACTCATCAAATATCTAAGCCTTCCTGACTTGGACTCCCTCTACTTCGTCACCGAAACTGATCTCCTGAACTACTCTCAACTACACCCTCTTGACCTACCTACCCGTGTCAAGTTCCAACAAGCTCTTAGACACTTCCAACCTTCATCTACCACTACTACTACAAAGTCTGATTCAAAGTCTACTACTACACCATCCACTGCTACCACTAAATCTGTCCTTGCCGAATCGGCAATGCCGATGCTTCATCTCAAAACTCTCAAGCCCTCATCCTCTGACAGCTACCAACCCCACGACTCTCAAGTTGAGAGTCTCAACGCTCCCGACAACAAAGCGTGGCTCGGTCGACAAGATCAACGCCCTATAGCTGCCTATATTCGCTGAATCGCCGACATTGCAGAGATGGCTAACCTACATGCATGTGGACTCTCGAAGTATCTAAATCTCAAGGCCTCTCCCGAGGAGTCCCAGGTGGACTCTGAAGGCCAACCCCGTGATCTACATGCTCATCTACGACAGCACAACTTGAACACAGCTAACTACGGTGAGTCTCACCGTAGAAACTCACCGTCTCTTCTCAGAAACTTATAGCCGCCGAGCACTGGTTATTGACTACGTTCGAGCTCACTAACTCACTCGACAACCTCTACCAACGACTTGACTCTATCCCACCAAACTCCATAGCTGAACAAGCTCAATCTACTCTCAATGCTGTTCACTTTGATGCTTCCTGTATGAACCAAGGTATTCACGAGAGCACTCTCAAACGAGCCTTCATCAAAGCCCTACCCAAGTATATTCAGAATGCTTTCAGCACGGTCTACCCCAACACCAACAAAATCACTCTCACAAAGAGTATCGACTGGATGGCATCCTATGAACATAGCCATCCCCAACATTCTCCGACAAACCTTGCAGCGAAGATTACCTCTACAACGACGCACGATACCAGCCAGAAGAAGTCCCAAGTCTGCCTCAACTATCAACGAGGCAGATGTCTCTTCGGCGACAAGTGCTTCAGACTACATGTGCCCAAAGATATGACTACTAGTAGTCTACTACCACTCCTACATCTACTATGGACCCTCGTCCAACATCAACCACCACTACAACATGAACTCAACCAACCACATCAACAGGCCTGGCCTCTATATCCGACCAACATAATATCCCCATCAAGCATGTTATTCTTCAACTTCTACCTAACCAAGTTCTAACTGCAATGACCGATACTGGCTGTACCGAGTTGGTAGTACCAACTTGGTACTACCGACTCGATCATCAATAAATTTTATTATTGCATATCTACTAGATATGCGGTCACTTCCTTTCACCTCCCCTCTCGGGGAGCTTGGTAGAGTTGGGTAATAATATGAAGTAGAGTCGGAGATGTGGGACATCGTTTTTGAATTGCTGGTTGCATTCGGTAATAGCGAGAGTAATGGATGGGGACGGGATGATGATAAGATGACGCATCACAGGATCGATCCTGGGGCCTCGGGAAATGAGTTTTGACTCCTTTGTTCGCGCGAGATTTTCTTCTGCCGAGTATAAACA